TGAAATGCTTATGTTTATAAGGTCTTTCCACCTTTCTGTGGAAAGACCTATTGAAATGCTTATGTTTATTATTATTCTATTTCTCACCTTAGCTTTTGAAACCGTAAGACTTATCGAAAAACGTTATAGTTCATGATACTGTATATTCAAAGTTATTCCGAAAGACGACCCCCTATGTTAGAACTTTGACCTTTACGCAGTTATTGCCCCTTTCACTGTAAAGTTTGTTATCACTACTCCTCAAAAACCGTAAACAGTAGAAATACAAAACCTTCACCAATGTCTTCAATTACTTTAGGAGACTTTTCAGTTTATTCATTGCAAAAGTTTTTTTTTGACCCCATCAATGAGTTACTGCCCCTGAAAGTTTATAAATTTTATAAAAAATTAAAAAAATTTTAAAACGAGAAGTCATAGAGACATTAAAACAACTGCATAAGATTCATTGAGCTTTGACCTTCAATTCATTTTAAGGTCAAAGGTAAGGTCATTCCAATAATGAGTAATAAATTTCTTTTAATAACTCTTATATCCTTAAACATATACTTTCTATCTTCTGTCTGCAAAATGCCCTCTTAAAACTCTCTCGAAGATTTCATTCTTGTCCCCTAAGATTGACGCTTTCAAAAGTTATTGCCCCTTGTGCTACTCCTCCTAACCGTAAACTGTAGAGACACGAAACCTTCACTAGTGTCTTAAGGGTCCTTATGCACAACTTCAATCTATTCAGTGCGAAAAAATCTTATGACCCCTTATATGAGTTATCACCCTTTTACAACTTTGCACTTACTACTAAGCCTCATAACTTTAAATGTATAAGCGGTAGAGACATGGGACAAACTCATAAGATTCACTGACCTTTGACCTTCAATATTTTCCCGTAAGGTCAAAGGTCAAGGTCATTCCAGAAATGAGAAATTAAGCTCTTTTTATATATCTTTTGTCTTTCAACATATACTTAATGTCTTTAAATCATTAATAAGTACTTTTAATACTATTTCAAATATTTCATTCTTGTCCCTTAAGATTTACCCTTTTAAAAGTTATTGCCCCTTGTGCGTAAAACCTTGTTATCGCTACTCCTCCGAAACCGTAGACCGTAGAGAAACCAAACCTTCACTAATGTCCTAAGGGTCTTTAGACATAACTTCACTGAATAAGTGGGAAAGGATCTGATGAGCCCTTATATGAGTTATTACCCTTTAATGTCTTTGTACTTACTATTAAACCTTATAACTTGAAAACTATAAGTCGTAGAAGCATGGGGTCAATTGCATTGTGGCCCTTGACCTTTGACCTTGAATATTTTCAAGGTCATTTCATTTTTTTTTAATTTTCATTTCCTCTAACCTTTAAGACAATTTTGGTTTCTTATTCGTGGAAATTAATTTTATGGAGCCAGATAAAGACAAAGTTGAAATTCAAAGAAGGTGGAAAGACCTCTTATTGGTCATTCCAAAATGAGAAATTAGCTCTTTTTATATCATTTTTGTCTTTTAACATATACAATCTATATTTGCATCTTTAGTATGAACTCTTAAAACTATTTCAAAGATTTCATTCTTGTCCCATAAAACTGACCTTATTAAAAGTTATCGCCCTTTGTGCGAAAAATCGTGTTTTTGCGACGTAACCGGAAATTGCAGAGATATTACACCTTCACTAATGTGTTAAGGGACTTTAGGCACAACATTTATATCCCAGTGCGAAAGGTTCTGATGACGCCTTAAATGAGTTATTGCCCTTTAATGCTTTTGTGCTTACTATTAAACCTTATAACTTGAAAACTATAAGTCATAGAGGCATGCAGTTGTTTGCATTGTGAACCTTGACCTTTGACCTTGAATATCATTTGAAGGCCAAAGGTCAAGGTCATTTCCAAATTTTTAAAATTATTTTTTTTTCATCTTTTAAGCCATTTCTGGTTTCTTTTTAATGAAATTTAAATTTGAAGAGATAAATATTAAATGTAATTGAAATTCAAAGAAGGTGAAAAGACCTCTAATTGTTCGAGAACAATTAGTCTACTAGTTTTTTAAAATTATTTTTCTGCTACGGACTTTTGAACCGAAAGACTTATCGAAAAACTTTTTAATTCATGTTACTGGACATTAAAAGTTATTTCGAAAAACAACCCAACGTATATAACCAATGACCCCTTTCGGAGTTCTTGCCCTTTGTACAAAAAACCTTGTTATCATTACTCCTCCGAAACCGTAAACCGTAGAGGTATGAAACCTTCACCAATGTCTTCTACTACTTGAGGGGACTCTGGAATCTATTCATTGCGAAAGTCTTCGGTTACCCTTTCAATGAGTTATAGCCCCTGAAACTTTTTGAATTTTACAAAATAATTCAAAAAATTTAAAACGATAAGTTGTAGAGACATGGGACCAACTGCACAAGATTTATTGACCTTTGATCATGAAATTAATGCAAAGGTCAAAGGTCAAGGTCATAGGAAAAACGAGAAATTCAGCCTTTTTTATATCTCTAATGTCTTTTAACATATACTAAATGTCTTTGCATCAAGAATATGTACTCTTTAAACTATTTCAAATATTTTATTCTTGTTCCCTAAGAATGGCCCTTTCAAAAGTTATTGCTTTTATGCGAAAAACATTGTTATCGCTATTACTTCAAAACCGTAGTTGGTAGAGGCATGAAACCTTCACTAATATCTTGAGGGTCTTTAGGCACACCTTCATTGTATCAGGGCGAAAGGAACTGATGACCCCTTATATGTGTTATTGCCCTTAAACTTCTTTGCTTATAATATTAAACGTTATAACTTCAGAACTAAAAGCCATAGAGGCATGGGGTCAATTGCAATGTGACTCTTGACCTTTGACCTTGAAAATTTTTTTCAAGGTCAAATGTCAAGGTCATTCCTAAACTGTTAATTTTCTCATTTTTTCTTAACCTTCAAGCCACTTTTGGTTACTTTTTCATGGTATATAATTTTAAAGTTTTTAAAAGAGTTAGATATTACAGATGTAAGGAAAATTGAACTGAAAAGAAGGTGGAAAGGTGGAAAGACTCTTTTATTGTTCTGTGAACAATAAGTCTCCTAGTTATTATTTTTCCGCTATGGACTTTTGATCCAAAAGACTTAACGAAAAACTTTTGTGTTACTTGACACAAAAGATATTTCGAATAGCAACCCAACGTAAATGACCTATGACTCCTTTTGAAGTTCTCGCCCCTTGTACGTAAAACATTGTTATCGCTACTCCTTCGAAACCGTAAACCGTCAAAATGAAACCTTCACTAAAGTCTTCAACTAATTTAGTAGACTCTGGAATCTATTCATTGCCAAAGTATTCGTACACCCCTTCAATGAGTTATTGCCCTGAAACTTTTTTAATTTTAGAAATAATTAAAAATTTTCAAAATGAGACGAGATAGAGACATGGGACTAACTGCATAAGATTCATTGAACTTTGATCATGAAATAAATGCAAAGGTCGAAGGTAAAGGTCATTCCAAAATTGAGAAATTAAGCTCTTTTATATCTTTTTTGTCTATTAACATATACAAACTGTCTTAGCATCATAAACATGTACTCTTAAAACTATTTTAAAGATTTAATTTGTATTCCTTAAGATTGACCCTATGAAAAGTTAGCACCCTTTGTGCGAAAAAAAACCTTGTTATCGCTACTACTTCGAAACCGTAAACCATAGAAATATGAAACCCTCACTTAAGTCTTCAACTAATTGAGAGGACTCTGAAATCTATTCATTGCGAAAGTATTCGATCACCCCTTCAATGAGTGATGGCCCTGAAACTTTTTTAATTTTACAAATAATTAAATATTTTCAAAACGTGAAGTCGTAGAGACATGGGACCAAATGCATAAGATTTATTGACCTTTGATCATGAAATTAATGTTAAGGTCAAAGGTCAAGGTCATTCTAAAAACGAAAAAAAATAAGCCTTTTTAATGTCTCTCTTGTCTGTTTACATATACTAAAATGTCTTTGCATTTATAATATGTACTCTTAAAACTTTTTCAAAGATTTCATTCTTGTTCCCTAAGATTGACCCTTTTAAAAGTTATTGCTCCTTATGCGAAAAACCTTGTTATTGCTACTTTTCCGAAGCTGTAAAGTGCAGAGACATGAAATCTTCACTAATGCCTTAAGAGACTTTAGGCACAACTTTCATGTTCCAGTGTGAAAGGATCTGATGACCCCTTATATGAAGTTATTGCCCTTTAATGAGCGCTTACCACTTAAACCTTATAACTTTAAAGCTATAAGTCATTGGCATGGGTTATTGCAATGTGACCCTTGACCTTTGACTTTTAAGATTTCAGCAAGGTCAAACGTCAAGGTCATTTAAAAATTTAATTTTTTAATTTTTACATCTTTTAAGCCATTTCTGGTTTCTTTTAAATGAAATATAAGTATTAAAGAGATAAATATTAAGTGAAATTGAAATTCAAAGAAGGTGAGAGACTTCTAATTGTTAGAACAATTAGTCTCCTAGTTAGTTATGTATTCTTGCCATTGTCTGAACTGCTATAATTTGTCAAATACACCGATTACATTTTTTACAATAAAAGTCAATGCTCTCTCATACATAACATTTATAATGGAATACAGAGGTTTGCCCTCATACATTTTTCAATAAAGTAAATTCTACTACATACAGTGTATTAAACGACAAAAAGGTACTTTAATGAACATTCTGACCCCAAAACCATCTATAATATGTATTTGGAACGGAGTGAAAATGCATGATGGAGTTTTTGCCTGAAAATTTATTTACTAGTAATAGTCTTAATTCTCAAAAAAAAAAATCAAAATTTCCCTTTCTTTTTACTTTTAATGCACAATAAAAAAAACTGTCATATTAATTGAAAACTGATTATAACAAATTAAATATATCTCTTTTTGTAAATGAAGATTGTCACCATTAATTGCGAGATAATTATTTATATGGATAAAACCTTACATTTGTATGCTTCATTTGATTTGTAGAATATTGGACTTGTTTTGCATTCAGTGTTGTGGTTTGCTTGAACCCTTTTTCCGAGGAAGCTGTATTCTAAACAATGCCCTTTGAAGAGAAGACAGAGAAATCTGTGTGAAATTAAAGCAGGTAATTAGGGTATTCATTTTATTTTATCAGTATCTGAAGTATTAGACTTTTCTCTTACCAAAAACAATTAATGTCACCGGCACACAAACTTCTAAAGTAGCATTTTCATAGTGGTTAGGAACGCAGTGATAAACCAATTTCTCTTTACATCCTTTACTGTATTGACTGCAGTTTTTGTTCTCCGCTGCTAGAAACCACTCATTTTTATTGTGGGGACATGTAGGCACATACTTAATAGTTTCTTGTATCATCTGACAAGATGACTGCTTGAAAGAAATATAATTATACATGTATAAATGCAAAACATTCATTTGTTACAAAAATTAATACTTTTACATTTTCATACATCTATAATATAGGGTTATTGAACTTATACTGGTGAATATTGGCATGAGTTGGCTGTTCAAATGCATAAGCTTGCGAGGTTTAAATGGGTCTAATACGCACTAACTTTTTATTGAATAATTTCATTCTGTGTGAAAAATAAGCACATTATACCTAAATGCCTTTTCATTTCGTTAATCTACCTCTGAGAATTTGACCAGACGACTTTTTTTGTTTACAACGGGGCGTTCGATATTGAACGCTCGTATTCGGAATGTTTCGGATATACTCGTGTACGTAATGCAAAGTCAGCGTTCACTTAAACGTATCAAGATCTGAAAGCTAAAATTCTCTAGATTTTTGGTAGTATTTTTATTAGAGACTATTTATTACCTATATAATAATAGTTTTTATTACCTCGCTCAGCAATACATCCTTGAAACCAAGAAGAAAAGATATCAGGAACAAATGCATTCTCTAATCTAATGCACACATAAGAGATTCCGTTGACTGGTTTCCTACAAATAGACAGCAATACATTTATTTGACCGCTGCGGCATATAAACTTAAAATTGGTCCGATAAAGTTCATCCTGATGCAATACAGGTTCATCTTTTAGAAAGATAAGGATTAAAAATGCTTAATAAAGAATTATTTTTTCTAATAAATTCTTTCGATCAATCGAAATCAAGCCAAACTTGCAAACCTAGGCAAGAGTTTTGTTCTTCATTGTTAATATGTCGTTGAAATGACTTCATATATATATATATAAAGATAACGGAGACGTAGAACACAAGACTGCAGTATATCATTTTTTTGTTCGAGTAGATCCGCCACATGTAGATATGTATTTGTTATTGATAAAAAAAGCTTCCTACTGACCAATTTTAACTACAAACTCGATCATGTTTGAAACCTAACGCCACACTCCATGCGTGTGGGCATATTGTTTGGTAAAGCTACAGACTTTCGAAGACGAAGATGAACCGTAATAGAAATCCAAATTTCAGAGATGTGGAGCTCTAAACTGTTGTAAAGAAGTGAGAAAAACAATGTTTTCCAAGTTATCGAACGTAACAATACAATATATAACTGCAAAAAAAGCGCATGGAACTCTGCGATAAAGTAAATGCATATTCCGCCAATGGACACACACGGACAGTCGACGAAGTTCGAATAAAGTGGAACTTACATGTCTGAAACTTAGAAAATGGTGTCTGGCAAAGAAAAGAGTAGCGACAGACGTACTTTCCACTGCTGATCCTGTAGGCGGTATTGTACGTTTCCACTGCTGATCCTGTAGGCGGTATTGTACGTTTCCACTGCTGATCCTGTAGGCGGTATTGCACGTTTCCACTGCTGGTCCTGTAGGCGGTATTGTAAGTTTCCACTGCTGGTCCTGTAGGCGGTATTGTACCTTTCCACTGCTGGTCCTGTAGGTGGTATTGTACCTTTCCACTGCTGGTCCTGTAGGCGGTATTGTACCTTTCCACTGCTGGTCCTGTAGGCGGGTATTACCTTTCCACTGCTGGTCCTGTAGGCGGTATTGTACCTTTCCACTGCTGATCCTGTAGGCGGTATTGTACCTTTCCACTGCTGATCCTGTAGGCGGTATTGTACGTTTCCACTGCTGGTCCTTTAGGCGGTATTGTACCTTTCCACTGCTGATCCTGTAGGCGGTATTGTACCATTCCACTGCTGATCCTGTAGGTCGTATTGTACCTTTCCACTGCTGATCCTGTAGGCGGTATTGTACGTTTCCACTGCTGGTCCTGTAGGCGGTATTGTACCTTTCCACTGCTGATCCTGTAGACGGTATAGCACCTTTCCACTGTTGATGTTGTAGGCTGAATCACAAGAATCAAAAGCCATGGACATCAAATACTCCTTGAGAATTGATTGAATTATACTTCTTTTTCAATTAGCGAACAAACGTTCATTAACTGAACGGAATTTAATTATAAAATGAGTGCAGCCTATTGCACCGATAACATCAGGAAAATCTGCAATATTATGAAAGCTTTGCATAACTTTTAAAAGTTCAATTCAAGAGGTTGGCATTTTTATATACTCTGGTGCTTTTCTTTTCAAGCAGTTGGAACCATCCTTACTTAGGACACAATGGGGCGCGATATTCTGTGAACGGTCTGAAAAGGGCTGTTATGGCCTGAAAATTCCCTGTTGCAACGGCAATGTAGGTCGATGAAGGATGATGCTCAAATTCCCTGCAAAAGCTTTTGATCAAATGCTGTGGGAATCTGTATTTACAGATTATCGCAGCGTCGTCAAAATAATCTAGCGGGTTGTCAATGTCTCTGAATACTCGCACACGGCCTAACCGATATCTTTATAACAAGTTATGGTAAACGACAGCATGTGAAGGAGTTCTAAGACAGTCTCTCAAACACCTCATGTGGTGTCCTTAAGATAGGATAAATCTAAGACATGTCTTATCTCAGGACTCTTTCGGGAAACCTGACATAAGACTTAAGATGTCTTAAGATTTTAGTTGTGATCATCTTAGTCTTAAGATACCTTCCTAAACATACCCGCAGTTTTCTTATTGTAATCCATTTTCAGAGGTATTTGTCAAATGTTTACTTTAGGAAATGCATTCTTTTACATTATGAAAATAAAAAAGAATTCGTAAAAATGAAAAAAAAGATACTTTAACATATAAATGAAAAGACATCAACTTTGATTTTGATCTTCCACTTAAGAAACATGAACTTCACGGAAATGATTCATTTTACCATTATGAATTATCTAGTCCCAAAACATTTCCAAACATTATTCAGAGAGAAAATATACTGTTGTATTACAGACTTAGTTTACGGTAGAAATGCGTACATGTATATTAAAAATGGACATATACGTTTTCAATAAAAATTACCAATAATGAAAAGGTTTTGTTGGACACTCGGTTGTTGCTATTTTATAAGTAAATTCTTAATATACAGACGGTATAACACATTTCAATATTTTATCAATTTTAATTTTATGTTCATTATGTATTTTGATTTAATGCAGAAACGCTTGTCTAAGGATAAAATGGACCTTATCTTTCACTTAAACTATTATTTAAAGTTCTATCATTTTTTTTTTTTTTGCCTCCGTTTACTATTTGAATAAAAATAATTCTTGATTCAAGACAAACATCTTTTAAAGTTATGAATTACAAACTATATAAAATTTAAAAGGCTTCGTTTTCATATCAAATAAAGCACTAAAATTGGCTGTAACCATATTTTGTCCATTTAAGCTACACATACTATTTTGTTACAATATATTGTTTGTACTGTAACAATACATATCGAAAAAGATAGGAATCAGCTAATATGAAAGGATTTATATACGATTAAAATCATAAGGTCATTTGATTTGCAGATATGATTTTACCTGATGGAATCTTTCAGTAAGACAAACTGGCATTAGCACTACACATATAAATTTTTCTAAAAATCCTACTTCAGGTTTGGAACTAATAGATTTCCATAACCTGGGACTTGTCCTATATGTATGTAGGTCTTCCTTTCTTTCTCCTTTTTCATGTTTCGTAATTCTTATAAATATACCGGTAACCAAGACACAAAAGTCTTATCATGAAAAATATTTAAGGTCATTTTTTAATGTCTGTAACATAAAATAAATCTGTCAATCTCAAAAGCTGATTCATCTCTTCACATTGTCAATTATTATAACTAGTGTGTAGTTAAATACGTAATAAATGGAAAATATAGGAGGAATAAGAAAATACTATATTAATCAGATTGGCAATAGGCAGGCATTTAAAAGAAACCTTAAATAGGTATTTGCTGCAGTCTCAAAGCAAGATTATCTACATAATTCACAATTCTTTTAAACTGACAACTATCCGGAACGCAGAGAGCAATGCTTTAAATGAGACAATATAACAAATGCAATAAATAGGGTCAATTAACCTAGCCACAGTGTTCTGAAGATTCTTTGTAAAGATTTTCTCTTCTCTATTCAAATGCAAAAATCATACACAAAATCATATCTGTTAATCAAAACTAGCTCTTGCACCGATGCTTTTGTCAAAAGTTATGATTGTATAATTCTGATAGTCTATTTTATCTCCAATCTTATCACACTAATCACAGTTTGAAAAGAACAATTCTACAGAAAATAAAACTATTTACATCTCATCCTAATTTTTCGTCCCGTTTCTCTATAATTGTAATTAAAATTATTTGATTTTGTTTGACATAACATAATATCAATTTATGATATACCTTATCGATAATTGGTATTATTTGAACAGATATGAATGTTCACCAAAATGGGACATCAACATGAGTAATTGTTGACAACCTTTCTCCAGGGGAAATTTGCAATTCTCTAATATGTTTGATCCCCCTCTGTTGCATCAATTTTTCAAGGTGGGGAAAGAGTTACTGGTATTTCAAATACAGTCTTCATTCTATTTTATTATATTTCTTATTTTCCTTCTACTCAATGTTTTTAGACCATGCAGCCATAAATTTCAAAAACATGTTTAACTAGAATTTACTTTTCAAAATGGGCCCTGTCTTGTCCCAGATTAGAGTACATACTTTAAATCCCCGAGGATATTTCATATTTAAAAAATGACTCACCGTGACCTACCTCAATAAAGTTTCCTCTATGTATTCAAATTACAATTTAAACTTGTCTTAAATAACTATACATGTCATCTGAATTTTGTATGAAAGTACCTAGTCATTGCTATGTTATGTTGATTTAAATAAACTGTACCATGGCAAATTTTCAAGTCTCTATGTTAATGAAACCCTATATTCAAGTGCTAAACATAAAAAATCTTTTCTTGCGGTGATATACCCGGTAACCGAGACTAAAATGAGCAAAACAAAGTCGTATTAAAAAAATAATTTAAAGGTACACAAAAGAGGAAGATCATGTCTTTTCTACTTTTCAGCTACCTTTCAATGTTAACGTTAAAAGTTTGATCTCAATATCTCTCAAGTGACTTTATAATACTGTCTTTATTATATTTAATAATTTTTTTTCAGAATTATTATTTCAATGCTCCTTGAATAATAAATTCAGAAATGTATTTTATGTTTTCGATTTTCAAGTTCGAATTCATAGATGTCTTTACACATCGGTTTTAATTTTGAAAACCTGAAGGCAGAAAACGGTATTTATTAAGGTTGTTTTATTTTTAACGCTAACTACTTCAATTATATGATACGATTTTTTTTGTATCAATCCTAATTTCACTGACACTTTTAATCCAGCCAATAAGATGCATGTATCCTTAATTAGAAATTTTAAAAATTAATAAATTGTATAAAAAAATTTAAATAGTTGAAAAAAAAAATATTCTCGTTCTAAAAATACTTACAAGCAGAAAAGAACATCCTTAGTTAATGCAGAAAAATTTACATTTACCCTAAATTAAGGAAGACTTCTTGGTCTTTTAAGGAATTATTACCTTGGTTTTCACAGAATCATTCTATCTAAAAAGTCCCATTCTTGGAAACATTTTTT